TTGTTTTCTGGTTTATGCAGCAAATAGAATTTCTGTTGGCTTATAATTAACCAGTAAATTAATCACTAATCATGCACAAACAAATGCAGTTGCATTGCACTGCCTCATCGGACGCTGTGCCGCCCTCCCTTAGTCGTAAATTTTGCCTAAACAGGCCAAGGTCGTATGTATGCGCTGTGAGTACACAGTAGAGTAATTCGTATTTTTAGTTGGCATACTGTAAACGTAATTAGTCTTCGTTTGACACGTTTCAAGCAAAATGAATCAAATAAGGCGAAAACCTTCTTGCCCTCAAATAATGATGTCATAGGTAATAAACAGCGCTGACGAATTCGCACCAAAGATGATCCTGTACGTAAATTTATGGTATAAGTCGAAACCAGTGTTGCTCAGTCGGTGAGGCATAGTACCCTTAATCGAGAGGTCACGGATTCGTGTGCTTTGTCATTGGTTGATAACTGAATGAAACAGAAGACTGCACATGCTTGCCATGTATGCGTAGACTGCCCTTTAAATAGGGTACTCCTGACTGCTGAGGGCATAGAAACGGACGTCAGCTCTGCACCATAATCCTCATTGTTGGTCTCAGACGTTTCTCTCTCTTCTGTTTAAATATGAAGGCGTTTAAAAGTTTATCACATTGTTATTTAAGTATTGATATTATTCGGTGAATAAGTCATTGCCGCCGCCGGTCACAGATATCGTCATATAAGGTATGACTTATAGACCCGGTAATGACTAGGAATGTTAGCGGTGCAGCCAGTTCGGAATAATGTCAGACATCGGCGATCTGAATTTAACATATTTTGTTGCTCTTTGATAAAAATCTATCACAGTAGCGGTAGATTTTTGGACAGAGTGATAAGCGTTTTTTCATATGTAAGTATTCAATGGGAAAGAATGATAATTGGCCGAAGAACCACATAAAAGCATGGACCTGACCAAAAATAATTTTGCTTTGGATTAATCAGAGTTAGCCTAACTCAGTCGACCAGCGTTGCTGTTAGCATGTGGAAAAGTTACACTCAAGAAGCTGTTTTATGTAATTAGTACAAGTTATTGTAATTGCGATACTCACTGGTTACAAATGATTAGGAAATATTGCCCGATGTCGTATGTCTATTGATCCGTCCCTATTGTTCCAGTCAGCGGATATTCTGCAGTTCAGTACGTCGATTTTACTAGATTTTTTTGAGTGAAGAACAGATGTTTCGCGTCAGATGTTTCAGTGTTGAAAAGCGACGAAATTGTAACTGAGGAGTAGTGCTGAATCGTTGTGATATAGAAAACGAACTCTTTTCGTAGCCGCATTTGGCTAGTGCAGAGTCTGCGACGACCGCAGACGCTGACTTTACGTCTAAGATTTGCATACTTTAAACAAAA